CCGGAGAAAGGAAAAGGCTCACAACTTGTTGAGAAAACACTCTTTGAGGACAAAAGAAACACACATGCACTCTCCAGCGGCTCACTAGCAGCTCACTTTTGAAGTCTTCCTCTTGCTCTTGTTCTTCCTTCCACCGCCCCCTGTCCTGCTCTTAGGAGCGGGCTCAAGCATGGGCAGTGGATTCTTACATGAATTAAGAAAAATTTGGCGAAACTGACGGTTTGAAGGTGACCATTGCAACTGCATACTGGCAAGTACTGAGAGACCATCATTGATATATGTCCTAGCGGTTTTGGCATTTTGCCAACGACCGTATAAAAGCAAGCGGTCAAGCGTGCCCCATTTCTTGAACCAATAAGTAGCACCGCCTCTTCGAAGCGAATAGGGACGGAAATCATGGGTGTCGAAACCAACTGCCTTCAACGTATCGTTGAACTGTTTGCGCCAATGTGCTGGGGGTGGGCATAAAGGGTGACGAGGTGGGCAATCTTGGATCCATTTCCAAAGCCAGCGTATGGGCTGTTCAGCGGTCATGGTGACGCTCTCGGCTGCGCCTTGCCTTTGACCTCCCTTTGTCCAACCTAAGGCGATAACGGCTGGGCCGCGTTCTGAATCCACAGAGATATGATCGGAAGTCATGCCAAGTATCTCTCCCGTTCGGAGGACTCCGTAGTATCCCACGAGGAGAGAAAGAGCAAATTGGTACTCCCGTTTAAAAATTGAGTATCCCACCAGGGTTTGAAGTGCTTCCTCAGGCATAGGTGGCGCACGAGAAGGAACCTCATTGACACTCCAAGCCTTCAAGAGCCTCCAGGTAGCAGGCAGTTGACGACGAACATTGGGTTGTGCGTCCTGAATTCCAGCAACCGTGTCAGCAGCAAGTGCCCGTCCAAACCCTTCGCTCCACAAATGCTCTACGTAAACGCACAAAAGACGATCCAACTCATGTGGTCCAGAGGGAAAACGCAGGTTCTCAACACGAAGAAAAGCCCAAAACTGTTCCATTGCCTTTTCATAACGTTCACGAGTCTTTGGCTGCACGGTGAGTGACTGGAGACTTCCCAACTCAGCTCTTCTCCTCTTCCTTTCCTCCTGAGTGCATCCTTCAACGTGTGCACGCTTTACTTTAGCCATTTCTTACGAGCCGGGCGCCGACTTGGTTTGCTGGGGTGGATTTAGCAAGGCTGTTTGTTGTGATTGAATTGGTGTCTTGGTTTCTTCAATATCTCACCATCCCACTGAAAAATGATGCTGTCATGTCATATCAGCTTTCAACCTTTGAAACATGCAAACGCACACGACGTTTCTATGTTTTTGATATCCTATATCATAAACATTCAGAAATCAGAGAGCAGAAGGAAGGCAAGTGATGTCTCCTGCTTTGTACCACTCTAGCAGCCGATCACTCAATTTGCTAGATGATGTCATTCAGCGCTTCAGCTCCTTGATGGCAATGTTTCTTTTCTAGCGCATAGCTGTTCAAAGTGAAGTCGGCACCGTGTGTTTCAAGCTATAGGTTGCCATGTGGGCAGCTATCCAATTGTTGATGATGAAGCTGATGGCCATTTTGGCCGCCCATCGTGAGCGGGATGCTTCTGGAGATGGCAGTCCTCGTGGTTCCCGACCGGCCCACAATGAGCCACCCCCAGGACCATCACCACCTCCAGGTCCACAGATGGAGGAGGCTGAGGGCCACCTCCACTTAGAGTGGAATGCCGGATACCCAGTGGCCCCAGCACAGTTCATTCCGTGCATTTTGCATGGTGGGCACTTCCAGACGCAGCCCATGTGTCAGTGGCCCGGTTGGCCCGGTTGGGGTTCCATGGTTCCAGCGCCAATGGTGACAGTACCAGCTCCAAATGAATCTTGCTGCCCGCCGGATCATCGTTTGGAAGAAGATACAGCGCCAGCGCCAATGCCAGGATCTGTGGATCTCACGGGCGACGATGACAAGAAGACAGACGATCCTGCAGCGCACCCGAATGGCAAAGAGGCGGAGCCAGCAGCAGCAGCACCAGGGCTCACACTTGGATTGCGGCCATGCAATCGCTGTCAGCAAGTTGCCTACTGTGGCAAAGGAATTTGCGCTAACGTGCAGTGTGACCCTTGGCCATTCAAGTTCATTGATTTTCATATGTTTTTTGCTTCGGCTGATTTGCACGACATTTTGAATATTCTCGCTTCAGGATTTGCACTTACAATGGCAAGCTTCCAAGAAGCGCAAGAAGAACAATGATAAGAAGAAGCCTGACGGCTCCTACAACGACGCATCATTCTGGAAGGGCTCTCGTTGGGATGAGTGGAAAGATTGGAATGATGATGGTGGCAGCAGCGGCTCCAATGGTTATGGCAGGGGCCGCTGGACCTGGGCCTGGGTCGCCTAAGGCTCGGTGAGGCAGGGCCGGAAGAATGATTACAATGTGAGACTCTTGTGTGGAAAAGATCAATAAGCTGCTGCTACGCCGTCTTTGATTGCAATCTTTGGTTTGGAAAAGCGAAAACAGAAGGAAACCGCTTTCTGGCTCCCCTGATTCGAGTGGCTAAGTTTAAAATAATTTCAAAAGGATAGCCCACGCCTCCTCCATCAATTGAAAATGAATAGTCTCCAGCGCAAGATCAGTTGAAGGAGGCTCCGCATCAGAATCCAAATGCCGCAGTGAAGGAGGCCAGGCTCGAAAGGACTCCTGCGCGCATCAAACTGTAAACAACTGAAGGTGGTCTTAGGACCTCCTACTGTTGCAGAAAACAGAGTAATCTCCTACATGCTGCATTTGTCATTTCTCACCGTCAGTTCACTCTATAATTGAAGAAGCCTTGCCCGAGGTGCGTTGCAAGCCTCAAGGTTTAACAACAAAAAGTAGCTTCCAAAGCTGAACATGGCGCCAAGAGACAAAAATGGCAGTGGATTGTCAGACGGTTCAAGCAGCAACCGCTGTTCGTGGAGAAACGTCAGCATCTTAGGGCTTTGTTTCGCATCCCGACAGACATGAATTTTTAAATTTTGCTTCTGCCATCCAAGGCGAGCGAGACTTGAGACAACTGGTCTCTGAGAAGCCAGGGGTCGATCCACGCATTAAATGGCTGCTAAGCCAAACTGTCGTCGCCTGCGGCTACTTGACCGGCGACAAGGCCAGGTTGAGTATGGAGAAACTAATTTGCATTGTTTGGCCGACAGGTGAAGGTGGCTGAAGGTTGCGCCATGGCCGAAGATTTAGAAGAGGAACTGGAAGCCACAAGTGGCCAAGAGCTTGCTGACGAAATGTCGGAATCCATGCGCAAGAGATGGCGCGCGGAAGACAGCACCTTGGATAATACAGCCGAGCCACGCAAGTTGAGGCGATGCAGCTCTCTTGCCTGAGTGGGTAATTTTGGCATTCTGCCTTGGGCGCTTACTAGTTGTCTTAGCAACTAGTTGTCACTTGCAGCCGTGGGGGAAACAGTGACAAAATGTGCAGCCAGGATTGTTAACGGATAGGATCATACTGTTTGTCTTGCGTCGTCACTTGCGGTAGGGGTTTGGGGTTCAAGTCGGCTTCAATAGTAAGCCATGGGCGCAGAGTCAGAGAGCCACGCCGACCCAGCGCTCACCGCGGGCCTGGGCGGTTTTGACGATGCAGCTCACAAGCGGCATTGCTCCTTGAAGCACTGCCCTCGGTGCAAATTCATTTGCAACCGTGAGAGGTGGCTGAAATTATGTCCTTGGTTAGATACCAAATTTGACTTTGAGACCAGACTCTGGGGAGTCGGATGCAAAGTCTGCAACCAACTGCTTGAACAAAAGCCGGAGGTCATGCAACGGTTCAGCCACCACAGGCACCACTTTGCACAGTATGCAGTGCGAGACAAGAATTTGAGCATGGACCGCTTCAAGAAGCACCAGGAGAGCCCAGCACACCGCACTGCAGCCCAGATGGGCAGCGATCCGTCTGCTGGCATTGGGCTTGAAGATGGCGACGGCAATGTGCCTACAAGTGCCGAATGGCTTGCTGTCCTGAAGCACACCGAGCCTAGCCGCTTGACGCTAGACGTTTCTTGTGCTGGAGAAAAAAAGAAATGCGCCATGATGCGGTACTGCCTTGCTGAAGGGCACAGAGCCAAGCAGCGGGAATTCCTCGCTGGAGCGTTGTGCATTTCACTTCAACAGGATGCCAGAGGAAATCGGTTCTTGCACCGCTTCAAGGCAACCAATGAGAAGCTCGAGGTCATGGAGGGCGTGATCCATTTGCAGAAGCAAGTTGGCACCGTTGATCTGCCAGGGGCTGTTGGCATTCGACAAGCGAGTGTGAAAGCTTTGGAAGCTTTCTGCACTACTGGTTCACCTCCAAGCTACGGTGGATTATTGCCAGGAGCCGGACAGGCGGCAACATTCCATGAAAGTTCTTTCCGGAGCATTGTGCCCAGAATTGAAGCAATGGCCGCCGACGCGGCTGCTGACGAGCAACTTGCCCTACGAGAGATGGCTTCCATCGGCGGCCCGAGCCCAGTGGAACTGAAGGATACCTTGATTCAGACCCTTCCTTCCTTAAAGGCAGGTCTTTTTTTTGGTAAGTGGTTCCACAACAGCTAGAAGCAGATTTGCTATTTAAGGACTCGGCTCGTCTTGAATTTTTCAATTCTTGCGCAGGTGTTGGCCAAAGACCGTGCGCATGCAGCGCAACGGTTGCTGTCAAGGCCATGGAAGGCCGATCCTTTTCTGAAGGACATTATTCTGCAACTGGTTGAGAAGCAGCACAGCGTGGCTCGGTTGATTGTGAATAGCCAACAGATCAAAGAACTCTACAATGACTTCAGGTCAAAATCGAAAGAACCTGTGAAGATCAGCAAAGCTGTCAAAGACTTGGCATGGGCACCACAGCGATACTCTAGTGAGGCAAAGGTCTTGGCCAGACTTGTCCTCACGTGGGATTCTGTGCTTGGCGTTTTGACAGCAGTTCCCACCATTCGGGGACCAAGGTCTCCTGAGGGGCAGGCTTGCCTGGAAACTCTTCGTTTCTTGGACCCTGAGAAAGTGCTTCAGTTGGGGATGCTAGCAGACAGCGCGCTTGAATTGCACCGTGTCGTTAGATCCTTCGATGCAGATGACTTTGACGAAGCCGAGCTGCCTCAGGAGCTGGACCTCTACAGGTCCATCTTGGAAAGACTCTTCATCGATGGTTTGTGCCTTCAGGTTCCCGGAATGACTAAATTGATGATGGGCTACTTGGAGAAGCCGCGGAACCTGCTTGTCGCAGATGTGGCGAAAACTTTGGGGGGGACTGACCCACAAACCAACAAACAATGCCTGATCAGAATGTCGGCATATGTTGCAGTGGCTAAAAGTGTGATGGAAGGAGAGTTTCCAAGCTTTGAGCTTATGTCAAGCCTGCGCGCCTTCAGTGTCTCAGACGAAATCAAATCAACACAGAGACGGCAGAGCGGAGAGATCCAAAACTGTTTGGAGAAACTCGCTCAAGCCATCGGGGTGTGTGCAGCAACCCTGCAGTATGAATACGATCGGTTATACCCACTTGCTGCCAAATTTGGCAAACAAGGCCTTCGCACCTTTGAGGCTTGGAAAAAGGCAGTGGGCTCAGCTTCCAAGAGCATGGCATCCTACACCACCGAAGCACTAGTGCCGGTCCTGGCCAGACTTGGTGCTTGGTCTTGTTCCTCGTCTTCGGTGGAGAGAGGTTTTGGAATGGCGTTGGCAGCCAAACAACTTGGCCAAGGACAGGACGAGCACGTTGTGTCAGAGGAAAGCATCCTCATCATCCAACAGGACATTCTGCGAGGGAAGGCCGCAGATGAGTTGGACTTGAAGGACAACATCATGAGGGCCAAAGCCATCTGGGCATCGTGCTGCAGCAGGGTGCGCAAGAGTGGAGACGGCAAACGCAAAGCTCGCTGGGACAAAGGTCTTCCAAGGACAGCTGTTTGTTTCAAAATCGCCATTTTGTTCGGCGACTGTTGAATATCAATTCGTTTCTCTGTTTCCAGGAAAGCGCTGAAAGACGGGGAAGCAGGCTTTCTCCAGGGCCGCGAAATGGTCACGCAGCAACTTGCTGCGTCGTCCAGCTCCGATATTGCCGCTTTGAAGACAGAGAAGACTTCTGCAGCTGAGATTCTGCAATACTTTGGTGAAAAACAAATGAAGGAGATTGCATTTTCTGAAGCCAAGAAGAGCAAAGCTTTGGTAGAGCAACTACTCCTGAAGGTGTTGCCGCAAGACCAAATCACGCCAGAACTCACCGCTGCCGCAGAGGAGTACTGCAGGCGGGCCCAGCAAAACCAGAGAGAGAACACCAATAACCAGAAGCTTGCGCAGAAGCGCGTCAGTCAAAAGGAGGCGCGGTGGTGTCGTCAAGGGACGATGCGGATGTTCTTAATAGTACACAGTACACATGTCTTTGTTGAAGTTCTTAGCTTATCCTTGCACCAGGCGGCCTGGACTGAAGAGGCTTTGATCTATGGCCCAGACCGGGGCGTCCCAATGACAGCCGCGCGTATTTTCGTGGCCAACGACCCGAACAACTGTACTTCCCACATGAAATTTGTGGGCGGCCTGCTGGGTGGAATTGTGGCGACGCCGCAGTTTGTGGAGAGCAAGGGCAAAGATGGCATTTGCGTTGCATATAAGGCTGCCATCGTCACTGTGAGACGGGTCTTTGTGACACCATTATTCATGGGTAGCCACACTGCAATCTGCAGAGATCTGTTGGAGATTTTGAAAATAGCAGAATGTAAATGGCAGCTTATGCGCCAAGCTGAGCTGGACCAGTTTGTACAGAAATTGACTCAGGCCAAGGCGCGCCAGGTTATCATTTTCCACGGTCCGGCAGAAGCTGCCCTGTTTCCAGCAAGCACTCACCGGTTCAGCAGTGTAGAGGAAGCAGTTGTGGATCCTGTCATTTGTTCTGTGGATTTGTCTCGTTCTCGAACGGGCATTTGTCCTGCTTACTGAGCATGCACCAGACAGGGGGGTCGAGCAAAAGGAGCAGCCAGTGCCGTCGATGCAATCATGGGGGCAGGAATGACATTCAGCGTTCAAACCTATTTCAGCTTCTGCATGTTTCAAGCAGCTACCTAGTTTGTCTTCCCTAGTTAGCTTCATTGATGTTTGAAAATGTCACCTGCAGCCTTGAAAGGAACTCGACTCGTTCACCAGTTCTTAGACTGTCGTTTCAGCCATGTCCAAGCTGCTGCTGGCTTTGCTGCTGGTGGTGGCATGCGGAGTGGAAAATCAGAAAGCTCCTGAGGACAACAAGGAGAAACAGCCTGACGCTCCACCACAGCCAAAATTACCTCCTCAGACTGAGGCAAGACCATGGCGCCAAGCTCAGGCACAGCCAAAGGTGCGTCAGGTGCTACCTCCTTGCTTTGCTCAAATGGGGCAACCAATGGCGTG